CTCTAATATATATCATTGTTGGTGCTGTTCGAAATTGTAATCTTTACTGAAAAAAAAAATGAAATTACCCAAGGCCAAGAGCCACGTGATGTGATCCAATTATTAGCCATGCGAGTAAATGCCCATGTACAATTATACACTGACTTTGGAACAACAAGATTGCATTTAATGCCACATTGACGTCACGTAGACTGTGTTTTCATCCTCAGTGGGGTTGAATAGCATTACTCTTGCTAAAATGTGGTTGACATTTAACCCTATACAACTTTCTACACAGCCTGGCTTCATAAATGATTCATTTAATGCAATAGGAAATTATTATTTCAAAATTATTTAAAAAAAAAAAAAAACAATTGAAGAGTAACATAACCAACTTTATGAAGAGTAAAATTGTCAAAGACCCTTATTGAAAATGAATCGAATTATTGATTGTCATAACGACTCTTATGCTCGAGAAGTCGCAGAATTAATTGTGGTATAAGACCCTATTTTCTCTCCCTTAAAGTTTTTTTTGGATTTCGAGTCGAGAATAGAGCAGTGACTTATTCGGTGATGTACGGTTTTCGTTGTTAGGGACGGGTTGGCAACTACGATTAATGATGAGGGATCAATTTGTGCAGTTTTCCCAATCTTAGTTGGGTATTTAGGTTCTCACTTCATTATCTTCCCTAAAGCAACTGTGCAGTCAAATTGTAAATGAAAATTGAATGATTTATTAAATATGAAACTCTCCCTGCAATGTGGAGATCTGAATATTGTGCAAGAAAGATTGCGTTTCAGTTTGTGATAATTCCACAAGCACATCCAGAATTTATTACTCTATCCCATATTTAATGCTACTAGACAATATTTTTTTAAATTTTTTTTATGTCCAATATTTTCGTTATTTGTTCATATTTTTAGATTTATCGAGGTCCTTTTCTTATTGTTATCGCCTATTCAAGGCGTTCTTAGGAGTGGAAAGATGATCCATCTCTTGTTTGGCCCGACACATTAAAAATTATGTCGTGCTATGTGTTAGAGATGGACATGGGTCGGGTTAGTTTGATTTTTGGACCACCCAAAATTGAGAGTAAAATCGAATGAACAATTTTCAATCAATTGAATTATTCGGTTTGGGCTTGTAGGAGCATTGGTTTCCATCTAATTACTGGTAAACAAATTCTTATTAGAATCTGCATTCAATTGTTGGGTCAAAATTTTGAGGCTAAAAAAATAAAAAGGGTAAAAAAGTCAAAGAAATAAAAATAAAATTCTTTACATGTAGCTTTATTATCTGAGGGTTGCGATTTAACAATTGTCGAGAATTGAGAGACGAGAATGTTACTAGGGGGCGAGTCTCATAAGATTTCAGAGAGAGAGAGAGAGATAACATCAGTCGTTCATTATTATAAATAAATCAGGTTAGACAACTCGATCGAACCTGAGAAAATTCCCTTAAACAAAATTGACATGAAAATCGATCCAAACCACTGATTTCAATTTAATTTACACTTTTTGACTTAGTAAATTTATATGGTTATCGAGAGAGGAAATAAATAAATGAAGTAAAAATGAGGTAATTCCTATTCCAAGATTGCGACCACTCATGTTTTGTCATTCGTGTTGTCATCTTTTGCCACATATATTTCTTTCTATTAAAAACTGGTATTTTTTTTTATTTAAATTGTTTATTTTGCTATTATATATTTCATCTATTAACCCCGTTTGTGAAGGTACAATACTATCTGTGAAGCCCTTTTCAAATTAAATAAGCAACTGTTTTGTCCCTGCCTCTCCAGCTGTGAAGTATTATTATTTGGTAACTCATAAATTGGGTTAAAAATCTGGTTAGGTATAGAACTTATGAGGTGTATTCATCCTCGTCTGGTTTGGTCCGATCTGATCTGATCTGATCTGAACGGATTTTTTTGAATGAATTGATCCATTGTTGTGTGTCATACTTCTTAGTGAATTTTTTTCTACCCGTCGTACTTCCTTTTTTAGTCACATATACTCTCATTCTCATTTTGTTAAGAGCTCGGATTTACCTTGTGCTCATTTTTCTTAAGTGTAATTTATGAATACTTCATCTTTTGATAAAATAAGCTAACTTAGAAGTAAAATTATCTTGCTTTCGATGTATTATATGATGTCTAATACATCAAATCGTGTTTTGTAATTTACATAGTGGATTTCTAATTAAATTCATGAAATTTGAAGATAGAAGAAATGTTGTTCTTAAGGGGTTATTACTCATTATTTCCATAAGCTATTAGGGGTGGGTAAAAATAACAGGAACCAAAATCGAACTAAATCGACTGGTTTCATTCAATTCTAAGTATGTTTTCAATTGTTTTTAGTTTTTGGAACCTAGAATCGACAAATTTCAGTTCCGAACCTAGAACTAGAACCATTAGAACCATTTCTATTTTTTTTAGCCTTTTTTTATGATCCGATTAAGTGACCATTTTTCATTTTTTTTTCACTAAACTTTTCATTTTCAAAAGTTTGGTTCTCGAACTAAACCAAAACAAACTAGAACCGAATGGTTCCTATTTCGACTCGGTTCCAATACTACAATTGGAACCAAATCGTTCCATTATCAATGATCTATTGATTTTAGGTTTTGTTTATCGTGGAATCGAAACCGAACTTCATGTCCAGACCCACAAGCTAAAGTTACTAGTTACAAAAGAACATAACTTTCTTCCAAGCCTTTTCATTCGAAATGCATATCGATAAATGGTTGAAGTTACTAAAAGTATTTCCAATCTCAGAAGCCGGTTGACGTAATGAGCACTCTCATTATCTTGGTACAACATGCCCCACTTCATTTTTACTATATCTACTCTTGAGAGTTAG